GATTCTTCCTCTCACTCTTTGAAATAGACTATTTTTTCTTATGCTAACTCTTAAGAGAAGCCACTGTTGCTTTTGTTTAAAAAGTGCATGTATAGTGTTTTGAGGATTTTAGGCCACTTGAAATCTGTACAAGAACACTAGATAAAATCCTCTCATTCCTAATGGTTCATGTATTTACTGCAAAATAACAGTAATAAGACAGTGAAAGGGAGGGATAGACCAAAGAAAGGAAAGCTCAGGGCTCCTACTTCTAATGCCTTTCCTATTAGTTTCCTTAAATTTAAATACTAAGGCCTATTTTTAAAAGTATATATGTAATTATATATAATATAAATATATTTATATTTTTATTGCCCATAAAATATATACTATGTGAATTATTTTGCAAATTTAAAAGAAATATAGTACATCTGTCATAAATCAAGATTTATACAGGTCTACTCTATTTTCTTTGTTACATCATATTTCATAGTTTTCAGTTCCATAGTTTCTTATCCATTCACTACTGTATGCTTATGGTATCTAGCTTTTCACTACTGAAAATGTTACAAATATTTTTTGTGCATGCCCCTTTGACATATCTTTCCTTAAGAGGAAGATGAGAGTGTACATGATAGACATGTCATTTCAGAGTAACATTTCCATGTTACAGATCCAAAAGCAAGTGACATATGTATGGAATTTCCCCAAAGCCACTTAATACTATTATCAGATTAAAACATCCTTTTCATCCTGATGGGTAAGAAATAACATCTAATTATGAGTAACCCGGAACATCCTTTGTGTCTTCTGACGTATTTGTCAGTCATCTCACATTTCCTGTTCATATCCACCATTCACAGTTTTTGGGAGCTCACTTGGCTTTTTTGTGCTGATTTATAGAAATTTCTTAAACATTTTTTATATATTGTTGATACTAATTTCTTCATGCATTTTATAAATCTCTATTTCCATCTTTCTGTTCCTGGTTTGCCCCTGATTGATTCTGTGATTTGGGATGCATGATTTAATTTCCACAACACCATTTTTATACACTGTGAAGTGTGAACTCATTATCTTTGGTCGTTGTTTTACTGAACTGCTAGTGAAAGGTTGTTCAAGCCCTTTGTTCCTCATTGGGTCTTCACCAGCTATTTTTCTTAGCTATAACATGAGAATACATCACTTTTAAGTTTATTGAGGAATACCAGAAAAAGAGTATATGAAAATGTTTTGGAGCTTTGCCTAAGAGATGGGAGTCACTTTGTCCGTTAGTTTTACTGTGATTTATCCCTACAAACTGTCTTCTGTGAGGATTGATCAGATTCTGAGCTTTAGGTGTCACAGTACAGCACTTGTTTATTTTGCACTCTTGGTGGAGGAAAAAGTGCATAAAGCAAGGTGTGCTTATGCTGACCAGTATCTTGGAATGTATTATGGGATGCAGCCCATAATATATTCTCTTCTCCAACCATGTTACTTGCTCTAAGATGACATAGTAGAATCTCTTCATTTATGGGACTAGATATATAGTGGCCATGGAAACTGAGAGTGTTTGCATACTCAGTAAACAGCTATGCGTAAGACTCCATCGAGTACAGGGAAGGAATAGGTGTGGGGAATACAGGCTGTGGATGGGTGAACTTGCACCAGGATCTTCCTTTTGTAGTTTTGCATCAGTTCTAGAACTTGTTAGAGACAGATCTGCCGAAGACCTTCATTTTCATTTTTGTTTGGGGGTGGTTGTATTAGGGAAGCTTTTCTTCATACTTGTTTTGAGGCTAAACATAGCAGGCTCAATATAAAACCCAATGAATGAGAATAACTCTGAGTTGGCTGGAAATGGAGAATGTAGGACTTCCTGAAGGGAGGCTCTCTCTGTGTCTCCCCTGGGTAGGTGATGCTTTTAATGCTTTATGGGCAGAAGGAAGGACTCTGCTGGTGGAATTCATTTTTAGGAAAAGACAAAGGGTTTCCTCATCTCTATACTAGCAAGGCACAGCTGCCTTCAGTCTGTAGGCTGCTTAGAGATTCCTTCATTGTTTTCTGAAGCCCTTAAGACATGGCTTGGTGCATTCCTTTCTTTTTTCTACAGCCAGGGGGAAAGTCATAATCCATTAGTGTTCTTGCTGAATAGCTTAAAAATGAGCCCTGGCAGCTGAAGTGTGTGTGTGTGTGTGTGTGTGTGTGTGTGTGTGTGTGTGTGTGTGTGTGTTGGGGGATGGGGAAAGCTTTCCAGGGACAAGTGACCTGCTTGTTCAGCCAATGAGAATAGGTTAGAGGAATGATCACCAGACCGGCTTTTTTTTTTTTTTTTTGTCTGATTATCTTATAAAAAGCAGGATTGTATCTGGCAACCTAACCCTTTTTAAGATACTAAGGTTTCACCCTCCCTGGTGTATGACTTCTAGATTCCCGTTCCCAACTGTCACTTGCAAAACCATAGAGATTAAAAGCTTAAATGAATGGAGAAGCTGTTTTACAAAATAGAAATTACTAAACTTTAGAACCATGGCTAGATGGAAATGTGATCCGAGTTGTGTTCAAAGAGCACATCTAAAGCAAATGCTGGACATGGTCACATGATCCTAGACCTTCTACTTGTAGTCTTGGGAGGGGAAGGAGGTTAGTGGGAGAAGACAGCGTTTAGTGTATTTTAATATATGGAATGAACTCTTACAGAGTATTTTGTTTGGGAGGAATTGAATTGACTTTGTAGATTTGGAGATGGTCCTACAATTGCTCTTGAGGCTGATTTTGAGTAAGTGATTTTTGCAATACGTTTATCCTTACACTCCTTAATTGACCCTTCTCTAATAAAAAATGACAGTAATTGTCTTTATGCTTGATCCTTACTGAACAATAAGTGGTCTTGTCCTATCTCAGAATTTCTGAGATAAGAAAATAAATTAGTTCTTGTGACATTAGATTTTGCTATATGCATAAATTACAGCAAGAACATTTTTCTTAAGATTTTATATTCGTTATTCATTTCTTTCAGTGGACATTTTACACCTTTGTTTTAAACACCACCTTGTTTGTCCTAAAATTTTTAGAGAATATTTGTACGGCACAGTGGATTGTGAAGGTCAGGGAACAAATTTGTGAAATCAGTTTTCTCCTGCCACCTTTGTGTGGGTTTCGGGAACTGAGCTCAGGTCATTGGGCTTGAAACCATTAGAGTGGCAGCACTTTACCTACTGAGCCATTATTCTGGCCCTGGTAAAGTAACAACTTCTTGAAGTGGGTTATAAGAGATACAGACATTAAACAATAGTACTAGCCTTTAAGGAACTCAAAACATCACAAAGAAAACAGACAAAAATAATAATTAAGTACATATTTCATTCTTTTTATCCAGTGCTAGGTCCTGTTCTAACTATCCTGGCATACAAGAGCACAGTTATCTGTCTCAGCTGTATGCAACATGTACTATTATGGCTAGCTTCATTTTATAGACAAAGAAGTAGAGGTGCAGGAGGGAAGATGACTTGCCTAACATCACACAGCTGGTGATAAGAGTTAGCATTTGAAGCCAACATTCTGTGCTGACCTTCACTGTGCTCACTAGCCACATGGACAGAAATGTGTCTAGTCCAGCTGAGATTAGGCTGTATGACAAAGAGCTACATTTCAAAGACCTAGTTGGGGATGGGTAGGAAGCATAAGTCAGTCTCTGTCTGTCTGTCTGCCTGCCTGTCTGTCTGTCTCTCTCTGTCTCTCTCTCTTTCCCTCCCTCTTTCTCTCTCTCTGTCTCTCTTTCTCCCTCCTTCCCTCCCTCCTCCTGTCTCCTCCTCCCCCCACCTCGAGTGCACTCTGTGTGTGTGTATGTGTGTGCTGGTTTGTGTGTAGGGGTGGTGGTGGCAATTTATTAGGAAAGAAAGGATCCCAAGAGAAGAAATGGGCCAGAGCAGACAAAGATCAGAGACTTAATAGGTAAGACTTCATATTGAAATTATATGTTGCTGATATTTTAGATATAATGATTTAAGCAAAATGTATTAAAGGTGGTCTTGCTTTCTTATTATAGCTACTCTAAAACTTAAGATTATGTAGAGGCTTACCTCTGTGGGGGTTCACATTACATTTTTGTTGGATTGTAATCGCAAACTTAACATTCATAGAGGCTTGCCTCTGTGGGGGCTCACATTACATTTTTTGGGATTGTATTATAAATGACAGGCAAGTGTCATTTTGGAACACTTACTGTGTGTTGTACACTCTGCTAATACTTCTGCAAACATTTCAAATAAGCCTCATTTTACCCATACCTGCTCATTTACTCATATTGCCCTTGTAATGTTTTGTAGGCAAGAGAGACGATTTCTAGAAATCCAATAATTTGTCCTAGGTGAGTCAACTAATATAATGACAACTTCAGAACCATGTGTCTGACTCAAAAACTTGTTTTCTTAACTAGAGTATAGTAGTTCAATTTGAATTTATACCTCAGCCGTTTTAATAAGTATATAATATGCATACATCTATATCAAATACATAAAGTTTCAAAATAAAAATCAGTAGTGCATAAGATAGAAATCTTGCAGTACCTTGACATAATTGAGTCTGAGATGAGGGAGTGAAATCATCCTGTGCAAATTGTGTTTATTTAATTTTCCTTCTCTCCCTCCCATGCCTCTTTCCTCTTTGTCCCTCCCTCCCTTCTTCCCTTCCTCTTCCTTTCTCCCTTCCTTCCTTTCATAGCCTGGCTGGCTTAGAACTCACTATGTAATCTAGGTTGGTTTCAAACTCACAGAGATCCTCCTGGGTGCTGGGATTAAAGGAAAGCGCTACCACACCCAGCCACAACTTGTGTTTAGTTTTCATCTCAACCATTTGTGCTTTGACTCTCCTTGTCCATTGAGAGGGAGAATGGGGCCATATACCTTCCTTAGTTGTTTAGTCCTCTTATCTGATAAGACAAGTTTGCTTTCTGTGTCACTGTCCTCTGTCCCCTGAAATATTGTGTTTGAGAGAGCAATGATATGCTACCTAATGACTCTGAATGTTTTTTCTCCTAGAGCAAAGATTCTGGTGGACTGAAGGCGGCTATGATAGAGTTGGTGGAGAGGTTAAAGTTCAAGAGCTCAGATCCTAAAGTAAGTATTGTTTTGCAATTAACTGGGTATTGGTACCTTAAGTATTTGTTCTCCTTAGTCTGAGTCCAGGCAGTATTAATGATCATCTATCTGTACTTTCTATTTAGATCTAATTAAGCCTCTCATCAAAAGCAGTATTCTCATATGCCTGGAGAAAAGTCATCTATTTTTCCCCTTTCTCCATTTTATGATTTATAACACATAATCATCAATATTTTTTTTCTGAATTACAAAGAAGTGTATTTTTAAATCTTTCCTTATCAGACCTTTGAGAATCTTGTCCTCTGTGTTCGTTAGATGTAGCCAAAGGTATCTGAGATACCAATCAGCGTAATTCTGGGCCCTGGACACCCAGCCAGTTGGTACTGACATAGCTTGTCTGTCCCTGGCTTACAGGAGGCAGCTGCCCCTGCGCATGTCCTCATCTTCATTACCTAGAATCTGATCTAGGAAATGACTTGAGCATCTTAGATTCTTTGCAAGATTTGGGGAGCTGGAAAATTGATACTCTGGGAGATGTCAAACCAGAATGGGGTGAGGGTGGAGGTGGTGGGCTGGGATCTGACTGTGCAGGGAGGATTATGACTAATGGATTAACTTCTTTTCTTACGAAGACACTTACCCGTACCACTCACTACCTGGTATTGGGACCAAACTAGCTGTGTTGGAAATTCAGAGCCTTTCACAATTAAGTAGGGAAAGGAACATGCTTTTATTTTTATGTCTCTCCTTTTTCTTTTTCCTCACAAATTCTTTATCAAATAGGAGTACCTAAGAAGCTAGGCCTGTGATAAAATATATGACAAAATTTTAACCATTTTAAATGTGTATTTCAGAGGCATTAAGTTCATTTACAGTGCTACACAGCCGTCATCACTGTCCATCTCAGGCATGTTTGCATTGTTTCAAACTAAAACTCTGTCCCTATTAAACACGACTCTTCAATTCTCTCTCTCTTTCTGTATTTTTGATTATTGCAAACTCCTGGGAAGTTGTTCATTATTGCAGATTAATTTGTTTTAAGGACAACGAGGCTTAAAAGAATAGAGCTATTTTCTCCAAATCTGGTATATTGTGGAGGCAAAGTCAGTAGTGCCTTTACTCTTGTCTTCAACTCACACTGCAAACCAAGCATCAAGGCTCATCTCGTGCTCTTAATCATGTTTTCTAAGCTGTAGCCATTGACAGCAATGGGCTCTTTAAAAGGTAACGGAAGCCATCAGAAATCTGCTTCTCATATCATGCTGAAAATATTGACATTAGTGCTATCTCTTTTTTTGAATAAGTAAGATTCTAGTGGTAGTCAACATCTAGACAGAGAAAGAACCATTGTGTAACTTTTAATAACTCTTCTATGTAGAATAGGAGGGAGGACTCCTAGTATAATTTTTCCATTGATAAAGCTGAACCAATTAAGTACTAAAGGAAATTGAAAAGCACTTTGAGAGGTTTCTTTGGTTTTGTGGGTAGTAGGTGTGCTACAGGAAACCAAACTATATTTTCTGTCTCTGCCATACCTGTGTGTTTGTGATTAGCAAAGTAGTGAAGAGGGATTTATGTTATAGGTAAAGAGCTTTGACCTCATTATGAATACAGACAGTACTTCTTTTAGAAACTTGCCAGGGACGAGAAGAATCCAACAAAAGGGTTCTCTAATGGATCATTTCTCAATCTGTGGGTTGCAACCTTTTTGGAGGTCAAATGACTCTTTCATTGGAGCTTCATATCAGATATTTTCAATTTATAATAGTAGTAAAGTTACAGCTATGAAGTAGTAGCGAAAATAATTTTGTGGTTGGGGTCTCCACAACATAAAGAACTGCATTAAAGGGTTACAGCATTAGGAGAGTTGAGAACCACTGCTTTAATGTAAGCTAAGAGATGATTGTAAGGGCCTGACTTGTTCTTAGGTGTGTGGACATACCCTGTCCACACTTTCACCTTCATGTCTCCTTTTCATTGCTCCAAGACTTGGCTTGCACGTACATGGAGCTGGCTTGAGAAAGGGTGAGTGTAAGTGAGAGAGAACAACCAACCAGTAAGGGGGAATAAAAACAGGCCACTTTTAATATAAACTTTTTGTAAAAATGTTCTCAGAAATCAGTTGTTATCTTCCAAAAGTACCCTTAAGTTTTCTGTCTGTCCTGTTAACATGCAGTGCTCTACCATCCCCTTTTTGGATTGACCTGTTTGAAAACAGACTAGCTCCGGCTTTATGACCTGTCATTTTGGGATTTGGTTGCTTTATATACAGTGATTGAATCATGGGATACAGAGTACTATCTCTGTCTCATTTCTTCTAGAACTAAAGCATCACAAAGCTTGGTTAGTCCAAAGGATAAGTCTATTGCAGACTGAATTTACTCAAAATTTTTTATTATTTATTTATTTACTTACTCATTCACTCACTGATTGATTGATTGATTGATTGATTGACTGTGGGATTCTGTCTACTTGTATGTCTGTGCATTTTATGAATGCTATGCCCATGGAGGAACTGGAGTGAGTTGTAACCCACCATATGGGTGCTAGGAATCAGCCAGTGCTCTTAGTAACTGAGCCATCTTTCCAGCCTCTGAGTTCACTTTTAGCTGTGTGTTTTGCTAAAGAGCAATGGAAGATGCCTAGCACACATAATTATAACTAATCATATGTTTTATAATTATAAAACAATATGTGCTTATTAATAAAGGAAAGTACTCATAAAGGAAAGTGGAATGAATGCCCCTCAAATTATTTACAATTGACAGTTTGGTATATAACTTGTAGATATTTTTTTGGATTTTACATTTTTTTGCAAAAATTATATTGTACCTATGGTTTTATGTTGTCTTTTTCATTATGCAAAATATTCGAGACATTCTTTTGTATTGACAATAGAATATTAGTTACTCTTATTGATACAATTGGATCCTAGTTCACTTTAAATGTCAACTTAACATAGCCTAGTGACATCTGGGAGGAAAGTTTTCATTAGAGAATTGCTTGGATCAAATTGGCCTTTGAACCTGTCTGTGGGGGAATTGGCTTAATTGCTAATTGATGTTGGAAGGTCCAGCCTACATGTGGGTACCACATTACCCAGGGAGGTGGTCCTGTGTAAGAAGGCTAGCTAAGCATGAAGCTGTGAGGAAGCCAGCAAGTAGCAGTCCTCCATGGTCTCTGCTTCAAGTTCTTTCTTGAGTTCCAGCTCTGACTTCCCTCCTGTAGGCATGAAGACTGTGATATGTAAATATAAGCTTGTCATACAAGAAGAGGGAAACGAGAACACTTCATTTTATTCAAAGCATGTCACACACTTTTTTCTAGATCAAGTGTTCTTAAATTTTATTGTTCATAAAAATCACCCAGAAGATTTATTAAAATATCGAGTTCTGGGCCTACCCCCAGAGTTTTGATTTGGTTGATATGGGCTGACAGAGCCCCAGACTATGTGAGAACCACTGTGCTGAACTTTGGGCTGGTTTTCTTTTGCTCTTTTTGTTCATTTGTTTGTTTTGTTTTTCTGATTTCTTCAAATAGAAGGGCACATAAAAACATAATTTAAATATTTTTTTAATTTTGAAAAAGTAAATGAAATATATATAAATCTAAGCTTAGGAGACAAAGGAATTGAACAGAAGTAACAAAGAAATAGGGACGAGAGAGGGAAATGGAAAGTCAATTCTGTCTGCGTGAGAAGGTGGGGTGGGTTCACAGTCTTATTCCTAATAGAGAAAGGGCCAAGTCAGGAAGAAGGGAAGGGCTCTAAGAGGAATGTGAACAGAGGAGCTGAGTCAAAACAGCAGGAGGGTAAGTAAAGACTGCCATGGGTCTAAGAATAGGCTTAGTTCTAAAACTAGAGGAAACATAGGAAACAGCTCATGCTGCTAGCAGTGACCTTGAGAACAGGACACAGAGCCAGTGATCAGTAAAAAAGTCCAGGAGACTGGAGGAATCATGTGTGTGTGTGTTGCTTTGGTGGGTCTTGTTTTAAAGGTTACATTCCTCCAGGTATCTACCATCTCCTATGTTGTGGATAAAGCTTGCTTTTAATAACAACCTTTAATTTGTAAAAACAATAATAACAAAAAAACGGTTACTGGGAAGTTGCCTTTTAAATAATTAACTGTCCAGAAACATTTGATATGATCCAATTTGTAAAAATTTCTTTTCTTAGTCAAACTTTCAGTAACATGCTACACAAAACAGAGGTTTGGTTTTTGGTTTTTGCTTTCTTTTTTGTCTTTTGTTTGTTTGTTTGCATGTACATTTCTTATACTTTTGCTCAGCTTTAATGAAATAAGAGATGTCCATCTGAGAGTGATGCCTTAGGCCTGTTATCTCAGTACTTCTAAGGCTGAAGCAGGCCTACCCTGAGTTCTAATGGGTTACACAGTGAAACTGTGTTTCAAATAATGAATAAAACAAAACAAACAAAAATATATAGTCATATAGGTGCTTGCCTGTGGCAGAATGGGGGAGCCCTAGACATGTAAGAAAGTTAAAACCAAGTTCTTTTATATTAACGGCTTTCTTGGGTGGCCGTTCATAGTTTATCTGAGAAAGCACTGAACCAAAAGCATAACATACTAATCTCAAACTAACTCTTTATGCCAGTAGCAACAGGTACAGTCTCTATTTTGTGTTAATTTCTTATCTTCAAAATAATTCTTTTCAAACCTTCCTTTAAATAGTGTACTTAAAGCAAACATTAATAAACAGAGTAGTTTTCTCATTCATCATAATCTTTTTTTTAATTTTTAAAATTGGGTTTCTTAAGCATTTATATTTTGATTAAAAGACCATGGGACATTTAATGTTACACTTTTTTGAAATTTTTTTATTGTTTTATTTATTTACATTTTTAATGTTGTCCCCCTTCTCTGTCTCCCCTGCAGAAACCCTCATCCTCTCTCCCTTCCCTTTGCCTCTAAAATGGTGCTCACCTACCCACTACCTCCTCACCCATCTAACATCCCCCTTTGCTGAGGCAGCAAGCCTCCACAGGACCAAGCTCC